CCCCAAAACCCCAAAACCCCAAAACCCCAAAACCCCAAAACCCCAAAACCCCTGAAAAATTCATATGAAATGAAATTTGGAATAAATCTATAATATAAAACTCTATAGGTAATGGAGACTACGATTCATATAAACTCATAAGCTCTCAGTTAGATCTCAACCTTCGCAGCCAGTCAAAGATGAATAGTTGTGTAGAATCCAGAGAATTTCCTATTATTTGCTATTTTTTGAGTGAAGAATACTCTTCTAAAAAAATAATTTTAATAAGAGTTTGTGTATAAAGAAGAACTCTTCAGTTCATATACAAAAGACAGCCTAGTAGATGAGAATAATTATCAATCTGACACTAATAAATAACACTCATAACTTTTGAATATAGACATGGATAGCAGTTATGATAATTCTGATGATGACAAAAACGAGACTTTAGCAAGAAAGAAGGGTGATACAATGGATCATTCTAAGGTAAGTCTACTATATGATCCTTTAGCTCGATAAACACATGAGCAGAGTTGCTAAAGATAGGGCTGGCAAGGCCGAAGACGACAAGGACAAAGCACTTGGAAAACTCAGATCTATCAATTTCAGATTAAGAAAGAAGCTCAAATACCTCAATGAAAAGGTTGAAAAAGCTATCGATCGTACTGAGACAAAGAGAATTCTTGCCGCGAGAAAGAAAGCTCCTAAAAATACTGCACACATGATCAGAGTTAAAGACAAAGAAATCGAGAATGCACAAAAGCAGACTGAAGCATATCAGATTGAAATCCAGAAATTACAGCACAAGATTGATGAAACCAGTCAGGTTGGGAAAATGATTGAGATGGAGCAAGAAGTCAGAGACCATAAAGCAGCCATCAATGAGCTCAAGAAAGAAATTAAAGACAAGGAATTACTCCTTGAAAATTTAGCCAAATCTGATGACCCAAGTTACAAGATCAAGAACATGATCAATGAAATCAGAATGTGGAAGGAGAAAATCCAAAGCAGAGCAGAACTCTACGAGAAGAACGAGAATAATGTAAATGGCCAGAGCGAAAGACTCCCTGAAATTGAGAAAGAAAATGATGAACTCATGAGCCAAATACAACATCTAGATGCCAAAATAGATCTAGAAGCCAGCAAGGGGAAGGATAAGAAAGTGAAGAAAGATCTAGAAGACATTGGTGAAAGTGTTAAGACTTCAAAAGAACAATATGAGATGTGAAAGAAAAATAATGAAAAGGAAATCAGAGCCCAGCAGAAAAAGACTGATGAAGTTTTTAAAGAAAGAGATGACTTATACAGGAAGTTTAAAGAATTAGAACAAGAGAAAAGAATTTCCAGTTTGAAGCTGAGAGAAGTAGCAAGAATGCTCAAGCATAACCAGTTAAATCCGATAATGCCAATTAAAACAAAGAATGGTCTGACGGCTAGGAGAGGAGAACCTGGAAAGAAGAAGACTTTAAACCAGCGTGGGTCAACAAGTAATCTTCATTCTGGAATTAATTCGAAAGGAAAGTCTGTATTGAGCGGGGAAAAGAAGTTGAATAGAGGTAAGAATAATCAGTCTACACAACTTCTTCACAAGCAGAAGCAATATTCCAAGCCTAACGACGATAGCGATGAAGATTTGGAAAAGAATCAAGTCATAGATTACTCAAAAATTAAAAGGAAAGCTTAAGATCTGGAAAACAGATTTATTTTATTTCTATCGTTGCTCCCAAAAAGGGGTTTTGGGGTTTTGGGGTTTTGGGGTTTTGGGGTTTTGGGG